TAGCCAGATTGTTTTCTTTCTGGAGTTTCAGTCTTTTGGAAATAGAAAGTTTGTGTGTTTCTAAAACTGAAATTGAATTCTTCCAGGCTGGTTAGTGAAAAGGGAGAGGAGAATTCATGGTTAAGTGTGGTTCCTGGACAAACAGCATCAGCTTCACTTGAGAACTTGTTACAAATGCAAATTCTCAGGCCCAACCTTACTGGTTAGAAAATTCTGAGTGCAGGGGCCAGAAATACGTGCTTTATCATGCTGTCCAAGTAATTCTGATGCCTGCTAAAATTTGGGTACCAGTGGGTTAAGGTTTAGTTTTATTAGTTGTAAAGGACAGCATGGTATTGGAATATTAACATATGTGCTGCTAATAAAGCTGATTAAATTTGGAAAAAAAACAAGAACTTTATAGCCAGAAAATCTTGGTTTGAACCCCACCGTATCACTTATTAAAAATATTATATTGGGCAAGTTACTTAGCATCTTAGCTTCAGTGTCTTGATTTGTAAAATGACATTAGTAATCCTGGAAATCAGTGATCAGTGTTGTTGCATTGAGTGCTCAATAAATACTGATTTGAGGGGCTGGATGTGGTGGCTTACTTGACCCAGAGTTGCTTGATACCAACCTAAGCAACATAGTGAGACCCTCATCTCTGCAAAACATAAAAAAATTAGCCAGGCATGGTGACATACGCATGTAGTTGGGAAACTGAGGTGAGAGACTCACTTGAGCCTGGGAGGTTGAGGCCACAGCAAGCTGTGTTCTTGCCACTGCATTCCAGCTTGGGCAACAGAGTGAGCCTTTGTCAATAAATTAATAAACAAAATAAACAAATTAAATAAATATATAAATAGATGTGAAAGCCCCACAAAACTTAATATATGATTATACGCAAATTTTCTCTTGGGAAAAATTGTAATTTTCACTGGAAGAAAAAAAATTAAGAGACTAGGTGCAGTGGCTCACACCTGTAATCCCAGCATTTTGGGAGGCTGGGGTGGGTAGATCGCTTGAGCTCAGAAGTTGGAGATCAGCCTGGGCAACATGGCTAATTCTCTTCTCTTTAAAAAAAAAAAAAAAAAAAAATTAACTGGATTTGGTAGCATGTGCCTGTAGACCCAGCTACTTGGGAGGCTGAGGTGGGAGGAAGGCTTGAGCCCAGGAGACGGAGGTTGTAGTGAGCCAAGATTGTGTCACTGCACTGGGCGAAAAAAAAAACAACCAAAAAGAAAAGAAAAGAAAAGTTTAAGAAACATACAAGCTTTCTTCTCGTAGTTGCTGGACTCTTTCTAGAGGTTCCAGGTTAGTTTGAGTAATTTCATATGCTCAAAGATAGTTATGGAGAACTTTCATGCTCTGAAAGTCTTGAAGGTACCTTGAATGCTTTAAAATGAAGAGGATATATTCTGGGACAGTCTGTATGCAAATTTTTCCCATTTTGTGCAAGTGCTTTATGTATTAAAAGTATTTGTCATGGTTCAAGAATCAATATAAGAAGAGATACAGTGAAAAAAATGTCAGTTCTGCCTCGCTCTCAATTGCTCCATTTATCCCTGCTCTCTGACCAATTTTCTTAATTTCTTATTTATCTTAGAATTTCTTTCTTTCTTTTTTTTTTTTTTTTTTTTTTGAGATGGAGTCTCTATTGCCCAGGCTGGAGTGCAGTGGCACAATCTCAGGTCACTGCAGTCTCCACCTCCCAAGTTCAAGCAGTTCTCCTGCCGCAGCCTCCCAAGTGGCTGGGATTACAGGCATGCGCGCCACGCCTGGCTAATTTTTTTGCATTTTGAGTAGAGATGGAGTTTTACTATGTTGGCCAGGCTGGTTTCAAACTCCTGACCTCAGGTGATCCACCCACCTCAGCCTCCTAAAGTGCTAGGATTACAGGCATGAGCCACTGCGCCCAGCCTATCTTAGAATTTCTTAATGCGAATATAAACAAATATAACTAATTATTTCCTCCTTACCACAAAAGATAACCCACTAAACACACTGTTCAACACTATACTTTTTCATAGTTAACAGTTTATCTTGGATACCTTTTCACTACGAGAGCCCCATGATTCTTTTTTTCCTGGTTAACATTATTCAAGGCTACCGACAACAAACTGCATCCAATTTAAGTATATAATTTGATGAGTTTTGGCAATTATATGCCTGAAGGCACCACCACAGTTAAGACACACAATGTTCTTTATGATTTTTTTAATGCTTTATAGTATTTCATTATATGGATATACCATTTTTTAAAATAATTTTTTTCCTTAACTTCCCAGTGTAAAGTATACCATAATTTTTTAAACCAGGTTTTGTAGATGGGCATTTGGGTGCTAATACAAACAGTGCTGCAATTAATAATCTTTTTCATACAGCATTTCATATGGATAGATTCCCAGATGTGGGATTGCAGAGCCAAAGGGGAAATACATTTGCAATATGGTAGATGTTGCCAGTTTGCCCTTCAAAGGGGTGGTACCAATTTGAGCATGTTAGGAGAAGAAAAATAATTTTTCCTATACGCTTTTAAGTTATTGACTGAGAACCCTGTAACAAAAGATAAGAGAAAAACAGAAGTTTATTAACATACATATTTCATATATACATGGAAGAAACTCAGGAAAAGAGTTAACTGTCTAATAGGTGTCTTACAACTCAGGCTTGCTCTTGCTCCTGCTCTTGCCATGTGACACGTCTGCACCACCTTTGCCTTCTGCCATGATTGGATGCTCCCTGAGGCCTCACCAGAGGTAGATACTGGAGCATGCTTAGTACACCCTGCAGAACTGTGAGCCAGTTAAGCTTGTTTTCCTTATAAATGACCCAGCCTTGGGTATTTATTTATAGCAATACGAAAACGGACTAAAATACAGCACCCCAACGTGGCCTTTCCATTCTAGGAGCTGCCCAGGAGTGCCCTGGCTCCTGCAGGGCAGCAGTTGGGAGCCTTATGTCCCACGTTGTGCCCAATCCTCCCACCACCACAGCTAGCTGAAGCCCAAAACTACCAGGACACATTCTCTCCAAACTCTGAGCTATTAGGAATACCTCCTTGACCATCTCTCGAGTGATCCAGTGAGAAAGAGAAAAAGAGCAGCTTCTGACATCCAGCCACAGCCAGGCACTCACAGCGAGGCCATGTAATTTTCCTACTGAATCTTCAGTGGAGCCTCCCTTACGCCTTTTCTACACCCTGGAATCAAGACAAGCTGCCCTGCACTTGGAGTTTTTTGCATGTCTAACAACCATGGCTCCCTCCTGGACTTGTTCCTGTGGTCCCACCCAGAAGCCATTCAATGCACAGGAGGACCATTTCCCATACCCCCATGATTGCACCCTCAGCCAGTCAGCAGCAAGCACCCATTGCTCAGCCATCCCCACCCCTTCCCCAAACTGTCTGAAAAACCCTAGCTCCCAAATTCTTGGGGAGATTGATTTGAGTAAGAACTCTTATCTTCTGTGTGGTGTGACCAGTTTTGCATCAATTAAACTCTTTACTGCAAAAGAAAAGAACTTAGCCTAATACAGCATCTTTAACAAAGAACAATGAATTTTTTTTAACTCTTAGGTTCAGGGGTACATGTACAGGTTTGTTATATAGGTAAATTGCATGTCACAGGGGTTTGGTGTATAGATTATTTTGTCATTCAATTAATAAATGATAGGTAGTTTTTTGAACCTCTTCCTCCCTCCACCCTCACATTGGCCCCAGTGTCTGTCGTTCCCTTCTTTGTGACTACATTTACTCCATGTTTAGCTCCCACTTAGAAGCAAGAACATGTATTTGTTTTTCTGTTCCTGTGTTAGTTTGCTTAGGATAATGGCCTCCAGCTGTATCTGTTTTGCTACAAAGGACATGATCTTGTTGTTTTTATGGCTGTGTAGTATTCCGTGGTGTGTATGTACCACATTTTAAAAATCCAGTCTACCATTGATGGGCATTTAGGTTGACTCCATGTCTTTGCTATTGTGAATAGTGCTGTGATGAACATATGTGTGCATATGGCTTTATGATAAACAATTTATATTCCTTTCGGTATATACCCAATAATAGGATTGCTGAGTCATTGGTGATTCTGCCTTGAATTTTTTGAGAAATTGCCACACTGTTTTCTACAATGGCTGAACTACTTTACATTCCCACCAGCAGCGTAAAGTTTGTTATATAATTCTTTTGGCGACACCTCTAGGCTGATAAGGGTCTGAAGTCATTTTGGGCAGGAACTGTTATCCTTCCTTGTAGAGAGGGCAAGAGGGATGGACACCTTTTTAAATTTATATCCTGCTTTTAGGCATAGAGAGGGAGGGCAGAGAACTTTTTTTTTTTTTTTTTTTGATACTACTACTTCTCAGTTGCTTTCAGTTCAAAATAATCCTTTTGCCAAAGTGGAATGTTTTGGGGTAGCATAGTCTGCTACCCCTCAGCTCCCATCAGCAGTGTAAGAAAATTTCCCCACAGTTTAGCTAAAAAAGTGTGTTATGAAACTTGGAGTTTTTGCCAATTTGGTGGAAAATGGTATTTCAATATAGTTTTAACTTACAGTTTTCATCTGAGATTGGGCATATTTTTGTATGTTAAAGAATGGACCATTTAAGGGATTTGCTTGTCTGTAAAATATCTCTTCAAACTCTTTCCATTTTTCTGTTGGACTTTTTTTTTTCTGTTAACTTTTAGGAGCTCTTTATATATTAGGGAGAGTACTTCTTTCTTTGCAGATGTTGTCTTCTCAAATTATTGTTTGCCTTTGACATTGCAAAAACTTTAGTTGAAGGGTGCATCTCTAAATTTTTACTAAGGATATCTTCCTAAATATTTCTTACTTTTTTTTTTTCTTTTTCTCCCTCCTTTCTTTCATCCCTCCCTCATTTTTCTCTTCTTTCCCTCCCAGCCCAATTTCTTAAAAAAGGATTTGAGAGCCTAAAGATGATTTATCATTGAACAATAATCAATTCAGTGGGTGAATATTAAGTGCTTTAATATATATGACCCTGGTTCATTTATTTTGAAGGCCATGTTTTTGGTATACTGTGCACTGGAGAAAGAACCTGTGCCAATGTCCTTGCCTCCAGCCTTGGTGCCACCATCTAAGAGAAAAACGGTCAGTATATCAGGCTCTGTGCGGTTGATCCCCTCTTCAGCATCAGCCAAGGAATCTTACCACTCCTTACCATCTGTAGGCATTTTACCTACCAAAGCACCATTAAGACAGGTATAGATTTATCAGTGTTAAAGGATTTTTTTTTTAACAAAGTGCATGGCATTTAATAGTTTACTATTTGACAAAGATAGAGCAATTAAAGGGGTAAAAATTTTAGAGCACCATCTGGTTGAACCTACATAATGTGATACTCCAGAGAAGACATATTCTTTCTACATTTGGCCTTGGGTCATATGAATGTTTTATTGGCTTTATCTTGATCTCCCTGGAATTAAAGTTAGAGATGGAAGATGCTCCATGCTAACATGGCATGTTTGCCCTGGCATAATTAATAGTTGTTTTTATTTTTGTTTGATCTCAGTTAACTCTTGATTGTTTGGGATCAAATTATCGATTTCTGGGTTGTCCAAGACTTTTTTTTTCTGCCCCCAGCCTGCCTCTTGTCAGATTGAGTAAAGGAAGATTAATGACAGGATAGGCAAATCAGCCAGTTTGGCTGTGGTTAACACTGCTGGGTCAAACTATAAAAAATAAAGATTGAGAATTATCTGAGTATTTTGTTTATACAGACTTTGAGTTACCTATATTAATGTGGGCATAAGTCAAGAGTTAACTATGTTTGAAGTTACTCATTTCTTAATAAAAAGTGGAAATGTGCACCTATAGATAAGTCCTAATTGGCCTGTATTTTCTTCTGTTATTTTGTCTTCACCACAGTGTTTTGATTGAGATGTCATATGGAAGTGATACATTGTTGCTCTGAGTTAGTAGGGTAGAATTGTTCAGAATTTGTGATGGATACTGTAATGGATTGAAAGAGTGACACTTCAAAGTTTGTTTCATTTTGGCAGAAATACTGTTTTTTCCCCCCCCACCCCATAGTGGGTTGTATCCCCTGCAGAAAAAGCTAAATATGATGAAATCTTCCTGAAAACTGATAAAGATATGGATGGATTTGTGTCTGGACTGGAGGTCCGTGAAATCTTCTTGAAAACAGGTTTACCTTCTACCTTACTAGCCCATATATGGTAAGACTTTATTTGATTGGATTTTTTTAAAATATGGTTTTGTATCAATTCCAGTTTCTGCATTTTGATTTTTAGTCATTTGTAAATAGGACAGTTTTTGTTTCAGAATTTTTATAGAGAAAATCAGAATCTGAAGAATTCTTCTGGCTAATGGACAAAAGCTTGAGAATGGGTTACCTGAAGCTTTATAAGATTGACAGCATCGGCTGGGCGTGGTGGCTAACGCCTGTAATCCCAGCACTTTGGGAGGCCAAGGCAGGTGGATCACCTGAGGTCAGGAGTTTGAGACCAGCCTGGCAACATGGTGAAACGCTGTCTCTACTAAAAATAAAAGAAATTAGCCAGACGTGGTGGTGCGCACCTGTAGTTGCCACTAGGGACGGTGAGGCAGGAGAATTGCTTGAACCTGGGAGGTGGAGGTTGCAGTGAGCCAAGATCACGCCATTGCACTCCAGCCTGGGCAACAAGAGTGAAACTCCATCTCAAAAATAAAATAAAATAAAATAAAATGACAGTGTCAGTTAATTGTTACTAAAATGTTAAAATCCAGCTTCTGTTTATATCAATTAAACTTAAAATTTTCAGAGAATCCAGATATATGAAATTTAAACAATGTAAAAAACAGTATCTTTAAGGCATACCTGCATAATTTTGTAGTGTATATGTATACTTTCATACCTTCACATAGGAATAACATACTTGGTCCTTGAAAAAGACAAACCCTAGTGTCTTTAATGAATTTCACAGAAAATGAGATAATGTATATGAAAATGCTTTATAATGTGTCTGCTGCCAATCCACCTAACGATACCAGAGGTTATCTTCAGGTTTTCAAGAGGCAGAAACCTCAAAAGTTGAACTACATAGTTGTAAAGAGAAACTTAGAAAAGAACGGAGGCAGACAGTAAGTAGATCTGCCTTAAAGGAAACAAGAACCCAAGACTGGGAAAGATTAAATATGCATAACTAGTAGTAGCTGCCACTATTGAGTGCCTAGGGTAGGGACTATACTCAATAAATGGCAGCTGTCACTGGCTTGATGTTGTGCCCAAACTTTTTATATATCCTGTCTTTAATTCTGATAGTAATTTTACAAGATGGGTGTTATCATCTCCACTTTATAGATGAGGAAACTAAGGTTTGGAGAGGTTAAAAAAATTTAGCCAAGGTTACAAGAAGAAATAAGTAGAAAAGCTGGAATTTAAGATCTATGTGACACATAGTCTTTTTAAGTATGTAGTCTTTTCATCAGACCCTACTGGCCTTCAATGAGTTAAACAGATCAGGATTTCAGAAAGCTGAACTTCTTTTTTTTACTTACAGAAAAAGAAAATAGAGTAAAACGTTTGCTGTTTCTCTTCAAGTGATTGTGTAAAGCTTTCCAGATTGCTGCCTTTTCCTCACATGTGATTTCCATTTGCAGCTGTTCATTCTGCTTTGGCTTGGTGATCCTTGTATCCTCCTACTCCAAGAGTTGCAGGAGGCATAGCAACATGAAAATTGTGCTTGTTTTAGAATCCTTCTAATGCCACCAGTGAATCAAATTTGTTGAGACTTAGGTTTTATCTTTAATATCTTTTAATGTTAAAAATGTGTTGGGAGTAAGGAATGTTAGAATTCTTTGGCCCACCACAACTTTTACTGTATAGTGGTTCTGAAAATTGGTAAGAAAACACAAAAGTGTAAACCCAGATTAGAGGCTCTTGCTCAGCACCAGGGTGAACATTCTCTTTTTACCATCTTAGCTGATCTACCTCTTCGAACAGTTGAGTGAGTTTTTAATAACTCACAAGTTGGTGTGACTGTCTTTTTAAATTCACCACATTATTTTTAAAAAGCTGCATAGCGGTACTTTCTCTCTGGACTTTTTGCAGTTGTGGCACTTATATACCATTTATTTTGTTTATTTGTGCAGGTCATTATGCGACACAAAGGACTGTGGGAAGCTTTCAAAGGATCAGTTTGCCTTGGCTTTTCACTTAATCAGTCAGAAGTTAATCAAGGGCATTGATCCTCCTCACGTTCTTACTCCTGAAATGATTCCACCATCAGACAGGGCCAGTTTACAAAAGGTAAGAAAGCTTAAAAGAAAACCTGAATGCATTAATTTCAAAGGAACAAATACTATGTCAAATTACAGATTCAATTTGGATGGAATAGAAGAGAAAATGTATCTGGCTAAGAGCAGAACAGTATACTGTTTGTGGTTTAGTTTGTGCCTATAAATATGTTGGAGTGCCTTGTATAACATCCTTGGCCAGTAGCTTGCTTACGCCATTCATTAAACATGACAACTATATTTCCAATCTTAAAATTGGAAAAATGTGGACTTATTTTTCCTTTACTGGATTTGTGAATTAAGTTTTATGAATAGATTATAAAAGGAAAGCTATAAAAATTAAATTATTGTGTTTTACTTGATGATTCACTCTTACATAAAATGATACAGATTTGAAAACAGAATCTTGCATATGATGGTTGCTTGGTGTCAATTTTACATCAAAAAAGCCTCCAAGGAAAACATTATGTTGAGGATATATCTGTGTGGTTTTTGCCATAGATGACCTTTTATTCCTGAGTGTACTGCTGAATTTCATATTTGAACAGCTAGAAGTGGGTTTTACCTAGTTTTGGTTTCTGGACAGCAGTGAGAATTTTCAAAACTTCATTGTTTTAGTCATGCCTTGATTTTTCTCTCATGTAGAAACCCTTCCTAGTATGATGCATTTACAATATCTTGGCCTTTAGTAGACCTTTGAAAGGACTTGCATGCCATAGTGGCTATTTGCCTTTAAAAATAAATACTTTGTATTTTTAAATTTCTAAGTAACCATGGCTATGGCGATTTTTCAGGGTTGTTACACAGTAATAAGAGTTGTCAAATGTGTGGTATGAGGAGAGCTCTTTAAAATATCATAGAATATTTTGGGTTTTGGATTAATTTTGTCACATGGTTCTTAAAAATCCCATTTTAAAAAGCTTAACAAAAATCAAATTGGGACTGAGCACAGTGGCTGACACTTGTAATTCCAATATTTTGAGTCCGAGGTGGGAGGATCACTTGAGGCCAGGAGTTCCAGAACAGCATGGGCAACATAGCAAGACCCTGTTTCTACAAAAACAAAAAAATTAGCCAAGTGCATTGGCACGTAGTTCTAGCTACTTGGGAGGCTGAGGCAGGAGGATCACTTGAACCCAGGGTCTTGCAACAGAGCAAGACCCTATCTCTTAAAAAAAGAAAGAAAGAAAATTGGATTTTTTTAAGTAAACTAAATGGAATTTATAACTCAGGTATGGAGAGTTACTTACAGTAGTTTTTGTCCTTATTTGTAATAAAATAAATATCTGCTTTGTGAATTATTGGGGGGGCATTTTGTGAATTTTTTGATTCCTTATGGACATGGGTCCCTTAAGTTGTGGAAAAGTGATGCCACCCAGAAAGATAAAGGTTACTGAATTTGCATTTTTGCTCTTTGCTGTATAACTGTACCTCAGTTATGGAATACTGTGTTGTTTCATGCTTTCTTTCACCTATGCAGACTGTTTTTTTATTTCGCCTTCTTCATTTTATAACCTATTCAGTTGCCTACCAACACAAATTACAGATACGACAGAAATTTCTGGAGCAAATTAAGTTTGTTCATTGAAGTCTCTATGTTAGTAGATGCTTGAAGTTGCATGAGGTATACAGTTGTCTAAAGTTCATTCACTAGATCATAGATACATTTGTCTATTTATGTCAGACACCAGCATTATTCATGGAAATGGGAATTTATCACTGCTGTCTTATCTATTAACCCAAAATTTTAACTTTAAAAATGAAAACTTGCATTGTTTTATCTTTCAAATAACCTCTTTTCTCTTTAATCTGTTTTTTTTAGTACTGCATTTTTTGCAGCTTTGACTAATCCTTTTTTGAATGTTGCTTTCCTTTCTGTGTTTTTTCTAGTTTGGACTATTTTTTCCATTCTGCAGCACTCTGCTTTTCGCCTTTCTTGTACTGTCAGTTTCTTAACTCTACTCTCTCTCAAGGTTAGAGCTTTATTTTATGCCTTTTTTAGCTTTGTAGTTTTTGGTTTACAAGATACATTTTGAAATGAGAGGTTTTTTATTCAGCAAAAAGGAGAAAATTCCTAAACAGCATGCTTTTGTCACATGTCACTTGGTCCTTGTGTGCATTTTAGCGTACCTTCCCTAGGCTCTCTGATCCACTTAACATCACCAAAGTGGAATTTTTGTGTAATATACAAGATAGGGTGAGAGAAAACATTTTGAAAGAAGGGGACATGCTATATATTTTTCCTCATATACCCTTCAAATGCTACATAAAATATTAGCTAAACTTTTTTCAGTATCTGGGGTGTCACTTTCTAGCTTGTTTGAGGTTAAACTAATTTGTCTCACTCTGTCTTCTTATTTGATGATAATTTTACGGGGAAGACTATAAAATGTGAGTCACCTTTTTTTGAGTTAAAGTGACAGAGGAGGTGTGGTAGTCACAAGTTCCTTGGTACATTTGCACCTCTGGTAGCAAATTTTTCATAGCATTTAAGTGAAGTAAGTTACTCTTGCTGATAAAAGTGAGACCAAATGCTAATGTTTCATTTTGTTTAGCTGTCTGGCCAGGCCTAGCTCATAGGTCAGGTTTAGACAGAGTTAAAATACTAGTGAATAGTTGTCGCATTCAGAAATCCACTTTAAAATACCTAATTTAATTTAACATTGATACGTTTTTGTATATCAGTGGAACACAGAAAATAAGAGATGTATTTCATACAAAGCTATAATTAATATAAAATTGAGATTAGTATTAAACCTTCTCAGATGAATTTTAGTACTGATAGTCAAAACAGCTTAGTACTAAAAGTGCAGTGTAGCATAAAGAAATATAAAAGGAATTACTTGCTAAATTTTATTGATGTACCTGTTTTATCAAATTTACTTTTAGAGTAATAATTTTATTTACCTAAATGATCTTGATATGCAAGTGCCACTGGGGGCATTGCATGAAATAGCACTTTAATCAGAAGACTCTTGATTAAACTGCGTACTGGCTGGGTTCAACTTTGAGCAAGTCATTTAATCTGTTTCCTCAGTTCTAAAATAGGGTTAATAATATCTGCCCTACCTACTGCCCACTTTACAGATTAGTGTTGAGAATTAACTAGTGGAATTTAAAGTGCTTAGTGAATTGTAAATGAGTATATAAATGTGAGGAGATGAGATATTGTGTTCTTTTAGGTTTCTTCTGTTGTGCAAGTTGTTGACGTAAATTAACTATACAACAACATAAGTATTAACACTAAGTCTTATGTTCTGTTATATTATATAAAGTCAGCAGTATATCTTAGTTTTTACATGTTTAGGCCTCAGTTTTAACATTTCCGGATGGTAATTATCCTGTTATTTGTTAATCTGGTTGTAGCATTGGGTGTAGATGAAATGTCTGAGGAAGCATTTATCTTTTCGCTCTGACTTCAGCCAGCTCTCTGGGGCATCAACAATAGTTTACAAAGGACATAGAGCCAAGGTAGAAACAACTCAATGGGAGGCCACATATTTTAAGAACATATTCTATTGAAGAGTTAATTATAACAATAGCTTACATTTATAAAAGGTCACAGTTTGTAGAATGATGATTTACTTTAAATAAAATAGACACAGTATGTAAAAAAAGTGTAAATTCCTTGAATTAAATAAAATCAACCACTACTATAGTTCTGAGATTCAACAAATACGAATACAAATAAATCACCATCAATTTTTCTAAGAATTTATACTTCGGTGGAGGAATTAGTTTATGAATCTGGCATCTCTTTTACTACAAGGTTCTGAACAGGCTAGGATCAAGTGACAAAGACATTCAGATTGGAGGTGGGGATGGGGTACATAGTATAGAATAACAGTTTTCAGAGAATTTAAGGGAAATGTAAATGTCTTACTATATAATTAAGTATAAAATTATATATAATTGCACTGGATATGATTTTTTTTAGCGGAAAGTGTCAGTAATAGAGTAAAATATGCAATACCTTGTATCTGGGTAGAGCTTTAATATTTTTAGTGTCTTGTTATATATTGCATAATTTTATAGTAATGTATAATTGTGAACTTTTTGTTTTTAGAACATCATAGGATCAAGTCCTGTTGCAGATTTCTCTGCTATTAAGGAACTAGATACTCTTAACAATGAAATAGTTGACCTACAGAGGTATGTAAAGCAAAATTACAGCCTACTCGTACACACACACACACACACACACACAGACACACACACATACACAAAGTACATACATGTATATATGTATACAACCTCCTCCCCACACACACCTTTCTGTTTCTAATGTATATTTTGATAAACGCTACCTTATTTGGTTAAGTACCACAGTTCTGTTTGAACGGAGTTAGGGTACTTCATCATATATGAGGCAGCCTTTAATTGCAGGATACACTATATACTTATGTACCACTGAAAAGTCACTGCCAAATAAACAATGACATGCCATTAACTATAAGGTACTGTTTGATTTCATTTAGAGAAAAATGTGAAAAAATGTATATCCTAGAATGACTGAAAAATAGTTTTTCTCTGACCTTAGATATTTGAATAATATATTATAAAAACATTATCATTTAATACATTTAATAGATGGAATGTTAAATTCAGACACCATGCCAAGAGCTTTCATAATTGTTATTTGACCCTCACACAAACCTTGTAATTTGAAATAGGTGGTGGTGTTTCTATTTTACAGGTAAGAAACTTAAGATGCTTAGATTATTTTGCCCAAAATGATACAAGCTTGTCAGCTGTAGAGCTGATACCTGATCCCAGGACTACTTTATTCTAAGTTGAATCTTCTTTCTTATACATAGGTACTATGTAGGACAGACTCAAATACAATTAGATTTGAGTCTGAGTATAGCAGATAGTATTGGTACTTCCTTAATTTCTGTGTTCCCTGGAAACTTTGTAGTAATACTGATTGTAAAAATGACTATAAAATTACTTTTTAAAAATAAGACAATTTTTCTGTCTACAGGGCACTGTATCTAAATATTCACACCAATCTTTTTCTTTTTTTAACCCTCACAACACTTTGAAGCAGATAATGGCTGATATACTTTATTTTATTGACAATATTGAGACATAAGGAGATTAAATGAATTAACTGCCTTATATGGCAAGAATTTGGCAATGATCTTAACCTTATCTGTGAGACTATATTGAGATTTCTGTAGAAAAACTGGTTGTTAGAAATTTTCAGTTGTAAGAAAGAACTAAACCCAAACTAACTTGAGTGAAATTTATTGACATGTGAAACTGAAACCTTTCAAAGGTAGGGTTGGCTTAAAGCATTCCTTGATATTGAGGCTCAGATGATATAATCAGTTCTCTTGCTCTCCATTTCTTGTTTCCATTTCCGCTGGGTTAATTCCATTCTCAGATAGACTTTCTCCCTATTTTGGCAAGAGGGCTATAGTACATCTAGCTACATGTACTTATAATTTCAAGTTTGGTGAAGAGCGCCCCTCTTCTGGCGTTTCCTGGAAAAGACCTGAAATTCAGTCTAATTGGATTGGCTTATTGGCCTTTTCCTATGACTTAAAATTTCTAATACGGAAATCCGACCAGGACAAAAAACCCTTCATGGTGATTGTATAGTTTAATTTGTCCTTACTAATGGGAAAAAAAAAAAAAAAATCCAGGGTCACACGTCACGTTAAGAGACAGTACTGGTATCAAAACCAGGTTGTATAAGTTCAGCATTCTTTCTGTTGTACAATTCTGCCTCTCATTAGGATTTTTAAGTTTTTGACTTTGGTTCAAAATAGAAGTAGTAAACACTTAATTACTGAATCTATAATGGTGTTTAGACTTTTCATTTTCATGTGGTCCATAAACATTTTTGCTTCCCTATATATGTTATATACATGTTATAGTAGGTACATTTGAAAATACTTATCTTCCGGGCCTCTTAAGCCTATGAAAATGGATACATACACCAATGTTCTAGGACTTGCTTGATTTGACTTCGAGTGTACTTGTTTAATGTATAAAATATTTCTATAATGAATTTTAATGGGAATTAGAGCATCATAGATAAAATGCTCTTACTGTTGAAAACATTATTTGTTACACTTTGGTCAACTAATCTTTCAATAACTTTTAGTAACTATAATGTTAGTTGTACCAGTGGCAGTCTTATATAGTAAATGACAGCTGGCAACATGAAAATAACGTACCTAATATTTTGTGACTGTCTTATGAAAATCAGAGAATTTCAAAACCTTGTTAGTTTTTAGGGTATAGTCACATTTTATAAATGTGTGATGTATTTATACATGATTTGACATTTGTAAAAATATTTTTGCTAGACTTTTATTTTAGGTGAGCTCTACAGTGTAGGCAACTTACATAATCTGTCAACTCCATTAGTGTCATAGTCAGACTCATCACCATGCTAAAATTATAGTTGTTAAAATATGCTTTTGTAAGTAGTTGTATTAGGTCATTATCACCAAATCTTCAAGGTATTACATTATAAAAACCTTGGTTTTTATTCTTGTGAATGACTGTTTTTTCCGTGCCGAGTTAAAATTCTTCAGCCTTTAATTTTTTTTTTTTTTTTTTTTTTTTGTTGAGACGGAGTCTGGCTCTGTTGCCCAGGCTGGAATGCAGTGGCCAGATCTCAGCTCACTGCAAGCTCCACCTCCTGGGTTTACGCCATTCTCCTGCCTCAGCCTCCCGAGTAGCTGGGACTACAGGCGCCCGCCATCACGCCCGGCTAGTTTTTTGTATTTTTTTAGTAGAGACGGGGTTTCACCGTGTTCGCCAGGATGCTCTCGATCTCCTGACCTCGTGATCTGCCCGTCTCGGCCTCCCAAAGTGCTGGCATTATAGGCTTGAGCCACCGCGCCCGGCCTAATTTTTTTATTAATATATAATAAGGATGTGATGAGTATGACTACAAAACAAGAAAAAATAATTTAAACAGATTTTGTTTGTGGCTTTTACTAAATTGTTACCTGATAAAATGTTAGCCAGTTCTTTGGTTTTGAGATGAAGATACTTAGTTTTAGTCCAGGGGCTGGGCGTGGTAGCTCATGTCTGTAATCCCAGCAGTTTGCGGGGCCGAGGCAGGTGTATCACTTGAGAGTTCGAGACCAGCCTGCCCAAGATGGTCAAACCCCGTTCTCTACTAAAAATACAAAAATTAGACAGGCGTGATGGCGCACATCTGTAATTCCAGCTACTCAGGAGGCTGAGAGAGGAGAATCACTTGAGCCTGGGAGGCAGAGGTTGCAGTGATCCGTTGCACTCCAGCCTGGGCAACACAGTAAGAGTCGTCTCAAAAAAAAAAAAAAATATATATATATATATTTTTAGTCCAGGGATCAAACCTCTAATTAAACAGCATGTATGATGTGAAATTGTAATTACTATATAATGAATATAGTGCTTTACAATACTTTTGTCTTAATGATGGTTATAATACATATTCATTGTAAAATTCGGGAAATGCATAATGAAAAAAGGAATATGTTTCTTAGAATCATATTTTGTTTTAAGCATTGCAAACCAGTGGAAATATTGAAAGCAGTATATAAACTTGAGTTAGTTGGGTAAAGAATGTTCTTTGTTATTGGTCAGAAAATGAGATTTCATTGTCTTTGTTTTCATCTTTAATTCACTAAATTGTTTCTAGTAGAAAATATAAGACATTGGGAGCTTGAGGCGAGATACCTTTTGGTATATTTTACAGATTTTTCTGTGATTTCTTCAACATTTGCTATTAATTAAATGATTTAATTATGCCAATTAGATTAAATTAGTGTGATATTTTTAACTTAAGGAAAAGCAATACAGGTTGTTGTCATATAACACTCATCAAATACCCAAATCTCTTATTTGAGCTCAAGACCTGTATTTTTCATTGCCTACTAGTGTTTTCATCTGAATATCTAGTAGGATATGACTTCTCTAATTGTCCCCTCACCTCTGTTTTGTATCTCCCTTGTCAGTGACATCACCATTCACCTAGTCACTCAAGCTAGAAACCTGAGATTTTTCTTCTTCTCATCTTTAGTCTTCTACGTTTGCAGTGTCTCTTGAATTCGTTCCTGTGTTCCCTTTTGTCTGATCAACCTCTCACTCTTCAAATCTCACCTTAGACATCATTTCCTCTGGGAGATGAAGCCTTCCTTGACTTTACCTCCCAACCTCTCTTCTCTCTTCAAGTCTTATTTAAGAGCCTATTTTATGTAATCTTTATATTTACAACTGTTATAACATTTATCATACTTTGTTATAATTCTGTGTTTTTTAAATCTCCAACTAGATTATGTGCTTCTTAAGCACAGGGGCTGCTTGTATCCCTAGTGTTTAGCTTATAATAGATGAGAAAATAATCTTTTCAATATTGTTAAAATCTGTCTTCTCTGTTCTATGTTTCTTTCTTAGTTTTAGCCTTTATATTTTATCTGGATCATGGCTGTGACCTCCTCATTGGCTCCCTGCTTTGAGCCTTTTCCTCCTTTGGACCATCCTACTTCCAACTGATACATAAAATACAACTCAGATCCCTCAGTGACTTCCCATCTCCAACTGAATCCAATTCACTTCTTTGAACATGGCGTAAAGGCTCTTCCTTCATGGTGTTCACTTGGCATCCTGACCATTCTTCTGTCTTAGCCACCTCTCACAGTGTGCTCCCTTATGGTACTGTAAAGCTATTTGAGAACAGATACAGTGTGTTTGCTCTTTGTACTCTGAGGGCTCAGTACAGTACTCGAATCTACTATTTCAGCTTTATCCCCTTTCTCCAGTTGTGTGATAGATGGGTTTATTACCTCTTACTTCAAGATACCACCACTTTTATTCCTCTGTGCCTCTGATCCTACTATTCCCCTTTGCCTGAAGCACGCCTTTTACCTTATAAAGTTTTTTTCATGTTCAAGACCCGTCTTAAATATTGTCTGTTCTGTCAAGCCTTCCATGAAATCTTCAGATTACTAGTTATTCTTTTCTCTTCTTCCAGAGGCTTTATTCCTTTATTGTAGTATTTTCTACTGTTTATAGTAATTTATATTGCTTTTTTGGTAAATTTTTAATTCCTAAGGGCAAGAGCTATGTCTTGTTCATTTTGGTAGGCCTAGAAATTAACACACACATTACTTGACCCTGTGAAATTAGTATAACCTAGTTGG